GAGTTTCTGATGGACATACAACAATCTAGTAGAATGGTGAATGAAGCATCAAGAATGGTGGTAGAATGGGATATAATGGGGATGTAATAGTTGATCTATAGACAATAATGGTAATGGTTGATAAATTGTTCAATGATTGGTTGATCATGGCTACTCAAAACTGTTGAATCTGGTAATTCGTCTAAGATTTCCAGGTGGTTTCTACTACCGTCTATAACATCCACCAAGTGGAGAGACGTTCTAATTGGAGGTTCTGAACACATCCATTGATACTATATGTACTGCAATAGATACATATGTTTATATAGGGAATGTACTATTTCGACTGGTATAAATCAATTTAGCCATGTATATATATATACACATACTTCACTACACAAAACTATAGGTATACAACATGTATATATACACATAGACTATATGATGTACTTAAATGATAGTGGATATAACAATGGACACATAAATAAGTGTGTCTGAGATATGGGTACCCCGTTCCATTCACTGGTCGTCCTCATCATTGTTCCAAACAGATTTGACGGATACCACGGATCTGGAGATCCATCATCCGAATTCACCAAAGTCCCGGCAAGTTTGGGATAGTTACCCTCCAGTAAACTCACGTAGCTATGGAAAATCAACCAAGTTCGATGATTTCGCCATCCAAACATCGAGGCCCAGCAAGTGGTGAAGGCGACGGTGGCGAGTGCCTCCCACATGGTCTACTTGCAGGACCCGGGACCGATGGCGATTGCGACACCTTTCCAACCATTTCTTTTCTTTTTTGAAATATGAAAGATCTACTGTATGTTTCTATTCCGAAATATGATTCATATATACTGTATATATATATATTCATATATGTTTCTATTGTGATCATTTTTCTGTATTTATCCGTTTTTTTTCATGGGGACTAGCAACTTGACCGTGGCTTTGCTGTTGCTATCCCAGACATGGTGCCAGATGGCCTGGTGGTTGGCACCTTGACCCCCGTTCCTAGCGTTACTTGTCCCTTTTCAATCAATCTGGGTGAATTATAACGACCTCACTGCGACCTCATTGGAATAATGCTTAGTAAGGGGAATTATCCCAATATGGTCCAACATTTCAGGTTGGTGAATGAGTATAATTTGCCCCAGACCAATGGATCTTCCATATTTTCATATTTTCATGACATTTCCATAGTTATTCCATATGTTCCACCATCATTTTTCCCATATTTTCCCACCAATCCATTGATTTTTGACCCACCAATGGACCGTTTTGTGGCCAGAAAAGCGGCATCCTCTCGAAGTGTACCATCCGAGCTTTGGAAGCATCAGCATGCGTTACCCGCGTTGCGGTGTCATGGTAACATGGTAACATGGCTGGTCAATTCCCATGAAAAATTGCAGTTTATAGCTGGGGAATTATGGGAAATTTAATAAGAAATGAAGGGTTTCATGGAAACCACCAAAAAATGGAAGTTGCTGGGAAAATCCTTGAACTGGGGGATTTTCCATTTCTATGTTTTCTTGCAAGAGGGTACAGCAATGGTTAGCTGGTACTTTGGGCCCCCAACCAGTTGATAGATGGTTTATCCCATTATTTATAGGGTTTCAACCATCCGTTTGGTGGTGCAGGATTTCGCAACCATCAACAGTAGGTCTAAATATAAGAACCTTCCAAAAAGTCGGAATTTGGTGATGACCTATGTGAGTCTATATTGAAACTCACTAGAAAACATTAAAGAAAAACCTTCAAGAAAATCCATCAGGCTCCCGTGTCAGGGGGTAAAGATCTTGAGGGCCTTGATCCAAATTTGGCTCCAGGATCGTACTCCCCATTTTCGTACCATACCCGGCCATCGTTTTGTGGCTCCCCTCTAGGAACTCCCCATGGCAATCAACGATTTCCGTCGGTTCGAGGAAGTCGTTACTTAGTTCGTAACAGAATTGATCGATTGCAGAAAGGTATCTGATGCGGATATTTTTTTCCAGTCGTTCTAATGGGACACGCAATTGGACATGAATCATAATTGGATTCACCACCCAGAAAACACACTTGAAACTGAACATGACCAATGCGTTCGCGGTCACCTAGACCCATACCCATCTCTCAGAATATCTGAACGGTGCCTGCTTGCATCTATTTGTTTCATGAGGGAATTTCAACCATATCTAGAGGCTACTTCCCAATGTTTGACGCTTTTTATTCTTAAATACCCTAGGTTTTCTCTGAAAATCTAGTGGCCCCCTCTTCTATCCACTGGTGAATCATCAATCCACTGGTGAATCATCATTTTCCCCAATGATCAGTTCTGGTGGGGGTTTTCCAGGCTCAGTCCTGATTGGTGCCATCCAGAGATTAGGCGAGCTACCGGAGGGTATTTCACGATGGATGAATGGATGATGGACCCCTTTTTTTCAATTGAAGGGTCACCGAAATCATGGTTGATGAGGTACTTTTTGAGGGGGTTGTACTGCTTGGTTTATCGGGACTACTATCATCCAGAATTTGTTCAGCCCTCTCAGCCAAGCATTTGAGCACTGCTAAATACCTCGATCACTACAGGATTATCTACCAGGTGAATGAGGCTATAAGCCCACTTTTTTCGGTGTTACTGGCCCATAGAAAAATATGGACAACGTCAAAGCTCATGCCTGGCCAAGCCCACGATACTCCATGGAGAAAATCAACTCATGGCCGAACATGTCCAGTATCAATGGGTTTGAAAGGGCAGCATAGTAACTGAGCAATTTACGAAGTGGAATAATCATCGAATTGAACATACCACCAATGAAAAGGCACGATGTTGGAAGGACTGGAGATTTTGGAGGCATCAAAGATGCAGGAAGCGATTCAGAAACGATCCAATTTCGTATATCTCCTGAACTAGTCGATTCGGAATTCGCAATAGCTACCAGTTTTTTTGGATATTTTTGAATGCAGAGTTCCTCCAAATGTCTGGGGCACACGAACCGCAACGTATCAGGGTTTCACGGAATGCATTAGGGTGTGACAGGGTGTGTGAGTTTTCACTCCTTGTTCAAGTGTAGGTTTTCTGAAATGGGGGTCCCCCAAATTGTTATTATTTTCTTTCATGGATCTTCCATTCTAAACCATCCAGCTATTGGGATTATTGGGGTACCCCCATGACTATGGAACCCCCCAGTTGTGAACACTCTGTGGGATGATTAGGAAAGCGTTTTCCAAAAAGGCTTTCCTACTTCATTCCACTGTGGTTTTTTATGGGTCACCTGTCTCATATCCCGGATATCCATGGATATCCCGCTTTTTTATGTTGACACAAAGCTCTCTGATGGTCTTTTTGCTTGAACTTCCATGTCCTTTTTGTTGAAAAATCCCAGCTTTTTGATGAAATCTCCAGGCTTCCTTCAATTTTCTGGACGATACCCCCAAAGACCTCCATGCCCGCGCCGCCCGAGCGTGTCGCTTTTTTCGGGGGAACGGGTTTTCCGCGGTGAGTCGGAGTGAGTCGCACCTGACGACCTGTGGAGGGGTTGCCCAGTGACAGGGGGACGTTTCCGGGGGATGGGTTGCTGTAAACGTTTTTTTTAATCCATGTGGGTTTGTCTGAAAATAGTGTAATATGGTTAAAACATGTTAAAACTGTTAAAACAATAAGGATAAACCATCCATTTGGGAATGGTTGCGATTTGGGGGATGGTTTATGATTGTTTTTTACCACATTACCCATGTGTACCCCTAAATCCATCGGAAAAAACTCATTATTTTTCCGATTGTATACCCTCTGGTAAACTAACATAACTATGGAAAATCACCATTTTTCATGGGAAAATCAACTATTTCTATGGCAATTTTTAATAGCTATTTTGACATAACCAGAGGGTACCAGCCTTTTCAGACACACCCATTTCTTTGTGGATGAACATCCAGCATCATCCAGCTTCAGAGTCGGTTTTTGATCTATATCCGAATGTCACAAGAGGCCATACTCGTACTTTTCAACTCAAAAAAACAGGGTTTGGTAAATGTCCCATGTTGGGGATTTTGAACATCACTAAAACAAGTATCTGTTGGAGATTATATCCCCTTTTTATTTGGGTGATGTGAAACATTAGGACATTTACAAAGCCCTGATAAAGATGACAATACTATGGTTTTTGCTGGGTAGTATATGTACAGGTCGCTGGTACTTCAATTGGGGTAGAACACCAAGCGCAATGGTGAGTGGATGAGGATATATGACCAACAGGGTTTGTAAAAATAGTTGGAGGCAGAAAATGGGAATCGAAGGAGAGCGGTCGATGAATGAGAGGTAGTGTACAATGCAACTGACCCTCCAGTGGCCACCAGATCTTTTCGAGAATCTTTGGCAAGGTGCTGTATAAACTAAGCTGCAGAATGTTGTGAACCCAAGAATACACTATACCTATCGATACCTCATTTCACTTTACGGGAAGTGTTATGCAGTTATGCACTTGAAGAAAATGGGGTTTATGGTTGCGCTTACCACATTTCAGGGGCATTGATAAAACAGTACTGCATATTTTGCAACCAGAGTACCGATCACCGGGTTCAACTGGGACACCTCGCTGGGGTTCTTACCGACTTACAGACTTACAGCTAGCAGAAGACCAAAATGAGTATTATTCATAGAATTGGATGATGGGAAAATTTACAGGAAAGCCCTATATTTGATGGTAAAAACCATGGTTTCCTGTAGATTTTCCCTTAAACCAATCCAGTGAATTATGCTATATATACACACATGCAGTATCCGAGATGCTACATGTATTGAACATTGATCAACATTTACCCCAAACATCACCCAGTTTTGTAGGTAAATATACCACACATGGAGCGTCTGGGTGTATATATATATATATGATATATAGACATACATAGATATACCCATAGATCTGATATACAGATATACATAGATATCTAATATACCATATGTATACTCATAGATATATGATGCAGGCTTTCTGCCTCCACATTTGAGTTTTCCCAACTTGGAGCCACGGTCGCAGGTCATGACGGGCTCGTGCGTTTCCTCAGTACGAACTGGGCAGCTGATGGATTGGGGAAAAATCGTCGCCGGAAAAATGGCTGGATTTTCCCCTGACCGATTCATTGAATGGAGATATCCCTGGAGATAATTGATAAAGCATCCAGTAAACTGATTTTCTGGTTGGTGGTTTGGAACATTTTTTATTTTCCATAATATGTGGGATAATCCTTCCCATTGACTAATATTTTTCAAGATGGTTAAAACCACCAACCAGTTTTTATTACTGGAGTTTTGGTTACTCAACATTGATTACTTTCCACCAAAGATTGATTAGTATCAGGGTCATATGAACCTCGTTTGACCATGAAACTGATCAATTTTTGGTGGAAACTCATCTTCCAACCCTTGACTGATGGGGTATATATATATTATATTATATATATTATATATATATATATTATATTATATATTATATATATTATATATATTATATATATATATTATATATAATATATATATTATATATATATATATTATTATATATATATATTATATTGTATAATATATATTATATTTAATGTCCCATCAATACTTGTGCTGTGTTTCACAAAGCCTCCGCACAACGACTTTGATGGGCCTTTTTTTCGGTGGGATTGGCCACCGTGAATTCCTGCTGTGTTTCTTCGCTGATCCGCATGAAGAACCAACGTGGTATTGAACAAAAAGGAGGTCCAGGGGGGGGTAAAAAGGCAACTGCTTAGCTTATGAATCAAACTGTTGTGTCAGTTCAAACTTCAGTTTTGGGGTTGTTCTATATGTTTTGGACAGCATTTCCATTGAATACCTGTACACCCTAGTTGGATGGTTTGATGCAAAAATGACCAGTCAATATGCAATTCCTTGGCCCTTAAATTAACTAATTCGGACCCGTCTCGATTTGTCAACATAGTTTAGATGCTTTAGTTCCACATTTTGTTATGTTTTCTTGGAAAGCAAAACTTGAATCCCAGTTTTTTTTGCTTAATTCATTTAGATCATTTGAATCATAAAAAAAACCCAGTTTCTGTAGGTCAAACCCTTGCCATCTCTTGGTGAGCTGTGCCGCTGTGCCCAGGCTTGAGACTTTGCCAAGCCGTGAGGACAGTGGGAGATTGCCTGAGCAACATGGGGGTATGATCAAGGCGGATGTGGATAATGTTTCTTAGTATTTTCATCATTATTAGTATTGTTACAACTATTGTTATTGGTATTTACTTTTCCTATGATTATTATGATTGATATTATTGATGGTGATACTGTTATTATGATTTTTCTATTATTATGATCGATATTATTCATTTTTCTATTGTTACAACATGTTACAACTATTGTTTTCTATGATTATTATTATGATGATGACGATGGACCATGACATCAAGGCGACACCGACAAAGTTATCCGCAGGAGTTGAAGGAAAGGCTTTTTGATGTCATCGACAAAGATGGAGATGACCTTCTAAACAAGGCAGCGATGCATCAGTGAAACGACGAACAAAAGGGTGAATGTCTCGAAACATGAAGACAATAGCCGATTCAAAACAAATTTGGAAGCTGGATACGTATGTATATATATATACAATATGTATATATGTATATATAATAGGTATATATGTCTATAACATAGTATAATATATAATAACACTATTATATATATATATTCAATACTTATTTGTGCATACTCATAACATGATTATTCCTATTTGTTGAGCTGGAGAATCTTTGCCAGGGAGAGATGCGCGAACTGGCCAAGTTAGTTGGTTTCGACGGCGGTGACGATGAATGGTCACAGGTGCCCAAGCTTTTGGTGATGATCTTGTAGAAACAGTTACCCTCTGGTAAACTATACAAAAAACTATTGACCATGGCCATAGAAATAGTGAGTTTTCCCATTAATAGCATGGTATTTTCCATAGTTATGTAACAGTTTACCAGGGGCTAGGTGATTATGATCCATAAAATTTGACGATCATCTTTTGGTGGTGTCTTGTAGAAACAAACAGGCTTATATTATACTTTTTTAAATAACGACTAAACGGTACAGCATTTTTGAATGGTATCGCTTGCATTTTGTTTAAATCTCTTGATCACTGAAGATATTGGTGATGTGAAGCAAACAAATGATGCGGTGAGAAGAGCAAGTTCAGCCTTGTGATTTCGAGAGTGACTAGTGTTTTCTGTCGTTTTGGAGACCGTAGCCATTTTGCCTCAACATTCCTTTTGCGCTCCACATTGTTGTGTTGAGCAACTTCCGTGTTTTCTATGAATGTTCCAAGTGACTGTAGTTTCGGCAAGCGGTCGCAGTGAGAGCATTTCCCTTCCCCAGTTCTCCAACGTAGGGGACTTGAAGATTTTAGCCCAGCAGTCCTTTCAACAACGATTCCTGAGGCTTGTCACTGCGGACGGGCGCATTCTGGGCGACCCTTGTCAATCGCTGGCGGATGCACAGCTTGAAAACCAGGACTGCCTCACTGCTGTTGCACGACAAGCAACTATGGCAGCAACACAAGAGAAAATGCGTCATTCCGGTGCCTTTGCACTGTGGTGCTGTGGTGGCAGCAGGATAGTTACATGGGGCAACCCGGATTGTGGTGGTAACAGCTCTGCAGTACAAGATCAACTCAGGAATGTGCAACAGGTCCAGGGAACAGGTGTTGCATTTGCTGCGATCCTAGCAGATGGATCTGTGGTTACATGGGGCTTCCCGGATTTTGGTGGCAACAGCTCTGCAGTACAAGACCAACTCAGGAATGTGCAGCAGGTCCAGGGCACAGGTGTTGCATTTGCTGCGATCCTAGCAGATGGATCTGTGGTTACATGGGGCCACCCGGCTTATGGTGGTAACAGCTCTGCAGTACAAGATCAGCTCAGGAATGTGCAGCATGTCCAGGGCACAGAAGGCGCATTTGCTGCGATCCTAGCAGATGGATCTGTGGTTACGTGGGGCAACCCGGATTATGGTGGTAACAGCTCTGCAGTACAAGATCAGCTCAGGAATGTGCAGCAGGTCCAGGGCACAGGTGTTGCATTTGCTGCGATCCTAGCAGATGGATCTGTGGTTACATGGGGCAACCCGGATTATGGTGGTAACAGCTCTGCAATACAAGATCAACTCAGGAATGTGCAGCAGGTCCAGGGCACAGAAGGCGCATTTGCTGCGATCCTAGCAGATGGATCTGTGGTTACATGGGGCCACCCGGCTTATGGTGGTAACAGCTCTGCAATACAAGATCAACTCAGGAATGTGCAGCAGGTCCAGGGCACAGAAGGCGCATTTGCTGCGATCCTAGCAGATGGATCTGTGGTTACGTGGGGCGACCCGGATTATGGTGGTAACAGCTCTGCAGTACAAGATCAGCTCAGGAATGTGCAGCAGGTCCAGGGCACAGGTGGTGCATTTGCTGCGATCCTAGCAGATGGATCTGTGGTTACGTGGGGCAACCCGGATTATGGTGGTAACAGCTCTGCAGTACAAGACCAGCTCAGGAATGTGCAGCAGGTCCAGGGCACAGGTGGTGCATTTGCTGCGATCCTAGCAGATGGATCTGTGGTTACATGGGGCCACTGGGATCAGGGTGGCAACAGCTCTGCAGTGCAAGATCAGCTTGCAGAACTCTAGGAGGACGTTTACGCATATGAGTTTCTACTTTGTCAAGATGCGGGGCCCGCATGGCCGTTTATTTTTGATCCCTTTTGAAGCGAATGCAGAAAAGGGAGACAACCCTCTAAAACTGGAGATTTAAGCAGGAACCACCAGACTTAGGCACCTCGAATTCAAGGATTTCAGCACATGTGGCAGCTGGAATTATTCAGTCATATATCTACATTGTATTTTGTTTGCAATCATAAGTTAAGTGCATTGGATGTTCTTGCACCAGACGCCCAAGTGTGGATGATCGGACTACATACATACGTACGTACGTACGTACATACATCCATCCATGCATGCCAGACAGGCAGACAGACAGACAGACAGGCAGGCAGGCAGGCAGGCAGACAGACAGACAGGCAGGCAGGCAGGCAGGCAGACAGACAGACATACATACATACATACATACATACATACATACATGTTATATCAACATATATTTATAAGATATATATATATATTATACAATATATATATATACAATATATATATATATACAATATATATATACAATATATATATATACAATATATATATACAATATATATATATACTATATACATATACAATATATATATATAAACAATATATATATATATACATATACAATATACATATATACATAGACAATTAATATATATATATATATTTTGCACAATATATATATAATACACAATATGTATATATATAGGTAATATGAATACACAACAACAAATCCAGCTCGCACTTGGCGCATGACAAATAAAAGGGTGTCTCTATAGGTCTGATTAACCATTTAACGACCCACGGCCACGACGCACGGTGATTTTCTGGTGGTTTGAAACACCTTTTTCAGATGAGTGGCCCAACCACCAAGCAAAGTTTTGTTGGCCAATGACCACATTTTGCTTGGTGATGTCCTCCTTCTTATATGATACCCCCACAGTCGAGGGTGGCTTACCAAGAAGTGGACAAGTCCTTAGTTAGATGCTTCGTATCCTTACTGCTTTATTTGATGATGTTTAATGACCGCCAACTGAGAACTCATATACTTACTTTTTATTCGTATACTTATTGGGTCACGATTTTCATTGATGATGTTTACTGCCAGTCCTGTTGACTGTGAACTCATCCGCGACATGGGATTCCCGCTGAAGAAATCTGCCAGTAGAGTGGAGTTTCCACGGCCAGGAGTATTTGAAACTCTGCGAAGAAGTAGGAGCTGCTTGGCTGCGCTGAACAGCCAGGAAGGATTATGAAATGTGATCTTGGGGATCTGGCGCTAGACCATGGGGGTTTGGGGTACCATAGTTTTCAGACCCATTTGTAGCCATGAATGAAGAAACAAACGGGTTACTTGATGATTTTTGTTGATACTTTGTTGAACCTTTTTGATGGAAACATAGAATATTCCGTACGGCGCAGTTTATCCTGGTGTAGTTAACGTGGCTTTGTCGGATTAAAGTGACCTCACAACGCTCACCGCAAATGGGATGAACATTTCCACAGCGACTATACCGGGCAATGCATAAATGAACTTGGCTCTGTGCAAAGATTTGTAGTAAACAGTGGGAAATGGTCGCCAAGCGCTCGTGGAAGTTTGCCAAAGCTGTGAACGTGGGATTGTATCTCTGAATCTTCGTATGATCTAGAGCATGGGAGTCCTAAGTTTCGTATATCCCATTTGTGCATCATTTCGCTTGTTAAATTTGCATTTTCCAGGAATCATCTGGTCTCTTTATTCTGTGGCCTAGGTATTGATTTACCCTCTGGTAAACTAACAGTTTGCTATTGAAAATCACCATCTTTAATAGGTATAGTAATGACTATAAATCAACTATAAATGGGCCATTTTCAATAGCTATGTTAAATTACCAGAGGGTACCATGATTTACCGGTTGCTAGCACCAGATGTTTTTTCGAGGCAGCACCAGCGAAAGGAATCCCAAAGGCCTGGGACGTGTGGGAAGGATCTTGGGCTCGCGGCAATTTTGAGCCCCATAAAAATGGAAGATGTTCCCTGTCTGGTTGGTGCTTTGGAACATTTTTTGGGAATAATACCCTCTGGTAAACGTTAACATAACCATGGAAAATCACCATTTTTAATGGGTAATTCCACTATTTCTATGGCCATTTTCAATAGCTACTACCACTAGGCTTAAGTCGTATCAATCGACCTGAAGTCGTATCACACCTGCGTGCGCGCAATGTTTCGTATAGATTTTGATAGTTCTTTATTTGATGGGTTATTGATTCGAACACTTTTTCATCGCTGTGCGCAATGTTTTGTTGACATGATTCTATTTGACCCTACTAGCCCTAGCGTTAAGTCGTATCAGCTCGTAGAAGTTGTATCGGGAGGCCGTGCGCCTGGAAAAAGTTCAAGTTTGGCATCACCACATTTTTTAGTAATTGGACGATTTCATTGTTTTGGGGCCGTGCGCCTAGAAAAAGTTCAATTTTTGTATTGCGGTGATTTATAACACTTATATTATATTTCATTATTCTTTCAACGGGGCAAACGCTGGTTGCTGCTTTCTGCTTGCTTTCTGCTTGCTTGCTGCTTGCTTGCTGCTCCTTGCTGCTGCCTCCTGCTGCTGCTGTTGCTGCTGCTGTTGCTGCAGCTGTTGCTGCTGCCTCCTGCTGCTGTTGCTGCTGCCTCCTGCTGCTGCTGCGGCTGCGGCTTCTGCTGCTGCTGCTGCTGCTGCTGCCTCCTGCTGCTGCCTGCTGCTGCTGCTGCCTCCTGCTGCTGCTGCTGCTGCCTCCTGCTGCTGCCTCCTGCTGCTGCTGCTCCTGCTGCTGCTGCTGCTTCCGCCTGCTGCTGCTGCTTCCTCCTGCTGCTGCTGCTGCCTCCTGCTGCTGCTGCTGCTGCCTCCTGGTGGTGCTGCTGCTCCTCCTCCTGCTGCTGCTCCTCCTGCTGCTGCTGCTGCTGCCTCCTGCTGCTGCTGCTGGTGCAAACATTTTGCCGAAAAAGAAAATTACAGTCTCGGTCGCCTTGTTTGGCGCTGGCGGGAGATACGGGCGGGAGACGCCAGCAGAGAGAGGGAATGTTTACAGAAGGCAGAACTTATGAAACATTCAAGTGGAAGCGGATGTTGACAGCGGTGTGCCACTGGGTTTTCAGATTTTAACGTTGTTGATATGATGATGTTGCCCATAGCTATTACATGGAAATCTATGTTTGTTAGGAAACAAAGTTAAAGATCTGGGAGGCCGTGTGCCATGGTGATTCCTAAATATATCCTTTGAAAACATAGTTTAAACATATGTGAATACCTGAGTGTGCGCAATGTTTTCTTCATTTTTGGAGATATAACAACATTCCTTGAAAGCCGGTGTGCCATTGGGATTTTGATGTGACTTTTGCCCAGTTGATGTGACTTTCTTCCAACTCGCTGTTACATGGGGTTGATGTGACTTCTGCCCAACTGATGTGACTTAAACCCTTCGCTCGTATGTGGCTGTTTACCAGAGGGTAATAATCCATAGATCTTTTCCATTAATCTTGGGGATCATGAGATCTCAATTTTTTGGTAGGTTGAAACATGTTGAAACCACCATAAAAATGGCTTCGATGTTCCTTGTAGACCAATCATGAACAGCTCCACTGAAATGGTTTCTCCAGGGAGTCTGAAAAATTGCCGTTTGAGTAGCCTCTTATCAGGCTAGCTGGGGTTTATTCCACTAAGGCTAGCTGGATACATCTCGCTGGGGCTCTGGAACCTGGAGGGTGTTTGTGATGTCTTGCTACTCAGAAATCATATACAGTACACAATACGGATGATGGAGGATTTTTACCTATCATTCACCATTATCATTCACCATTCACCACCATTCACCACCATTCATTCATGTATTGGTACGAATTATATACAACATTATACAACCATCTTTTTTCGAGTGGATCAGAACTCAAGAGTGCCGATGGATATAATCATTGGTCCCGATGGACCCGCAAGCTCGTCATGTTTGGAGATGTTTAGGACATTAAACCATCCTTTTTTGACGGTTGATTGAGCCATCAGCCATCCCCCACACGTACATATATACATCTCTTGGATTCTTTCAACTTGGGATCCTTAGAATAGGTTTATCTGAAAACGGAGTAGCCCTAAGATCCAATAGTTAGATATTCATCTTCAACTGTTTCTTTCACATAGATGAATTTCTAGACTATGTTCTCATATAGTGCGATAATTGGATTACGGCTGAGGGACGGATTACTTTTGTTAGTTTTGTGACACAAGTTTAGAATATGTTGTGTGGTTTAAGGCAGAAAACACATCGATTAGGACTATGTAATGCTAATAGCCAAACTAAGTAACAGATTCATTTGGACACTAGATTATTTTCAAACATGGATCTTGGATTCCTATCTCTTCCAAATTTTGTATCTTAGCTATTTGCCTCCCCCAATTTTTGAACACACTTTTTTTTTTTTGACATATCCGATGCTATCGCAAGATATCCCATGCCGTGGCGCGTATTCGGAGGTGGTCGTCCTGGAACTTTTAGATGACAGATCAGAAACTGGATGCTTCTGTACCGAAGAGGAGGGTTCTTCATACCTGTGGTGGGAGCATGGGAAAAACCACGTAGCACCGAGGTGTTTGAAGGGAAACGGTCATCTCTGAACATGGATTTGTCGAATGTGGAGATTTCAAGAGAACAGAATGATGAACTGATGAAGAAATGGTTTTCCATAGGACTGATCAAGATTATTTACTAATTACTATTGATGAACAGAATTATGTCGAATGGCATGGTTTTCCCCCCTAAATGTTCTTAGAAGATTTCAGAGAATCCCATGACGGGAGCAACCCAATGGGATGACGTGGGATTTTCTGTTTGCCTCCATTGGATGGTTTGTATCAAAAGCGAAGCTCGCTTTTTAGATTTTTGGCTTTAGATTCTTTAGATAGATTTACCATATATCACATATATATATAGATCACATGTATACATATATCACATATATATATATAGATAGATAATATATAGATATATAGATGATATATATATACACTATGTATGTATATTTGATATATATATAGATATCCACTTTCAAGGGATCAACAGACAAGTAATGTCAAGCCAGGATTCAGGATTGACAACCATCTGGTTTATTAGGGGCGGAGCCAAAATAGTCATGATTTCTGGAAGAATGGCATCCCCTTATTACTAGATCCATATTGACATTAACTTTCATTGGGAACATTGTTCCCTTTTAAAGCATATATATCAGCTATTTGTGAATTAAATGTCCCCTTTTATATCCCACCGGATTTTTTTACCCACAGATGCCGCGTGTTGCCCAGACGTCGTGTTGTTGAATAAGATAGGAGATATTGCAGAAAATACTGCATATACACAGAGTTTTCTGGTGTAGGATTCAAAGTTTTCAGGGTTTAGGTTTTAGGGTTTAAGGTTACAGTAGGGTTGTAGGCTTTAGAGCCGCGGTGTATATATGGTTACACGTTTACATCCCACCCGCCCAAGGTACCCTATCCATTGTGTGATATGCACCCCTTCATTCATTCAGTTGCTGCATGCCTCACAACTTTTCCAGTCCCAAACAACAAAGCCTGGAAGGGAACACCTTTCTTACAAGCTTCTAACCCTTCAGGGCAGCCCCAAAAAGGCTCCCGGCCAGGATTTGGCCCGAAACGGCTGTTTCCTAGTGATCCCAGAAGGCACTTTTAATTGCCGGCTTGCAAGCCACCAAAGGCCCAAAATCTGGCTCCAAAAGGCTCCTGGCCAGGATTTGGCCCAATACGGCTGTTTCCCGATGATCCCAGAAGGCACGTGCAATTGCAGGGCTCCAAGCCACCAAAGTCCCAAAATCTGGCTCCAAAAGGCTCCTAGCCAGGATGTGCCCCAAAACGGCTGTTTCCCAATGATCCCAGAAGGCACCTTTCATTGCCGACCACCAAAAGTCTCAAAATCTGGCTCCAAAAGGCTCCTAGCGAGGATTTGGCCCAAAACGGCTGTTTCCCAATGATCCCAGAAGGCGCTTTCAATTGCAGGTCTCCAAAGTCTCAAAATCTGGCTCCAAGAGGCCCCTGGCTAGAGTTGACAGCTGAAACCAAGGGTTTTGACCTCATGGATTTAGCAGCTAAAACCAAGGGTTTTGACCCTAAACCCTGGAAAAATGCAGGTTTTGGACCCTAAACCCTTCCAGAATGATGGATTTAGCAGCTAAAACCAAGGGTTTGGACCCTAAACCCTTGAGGGCGATTCATTTTGGAACTACGGCCCCATTAAGGTTTAAATATACATATGATATATAGGTCATTAAGGTTTAAGTATACATATGATATATAGGTCATATGATATATAGGTTTAGGGTTTTAGGGTTTAGGGTTTTTGGGTTTAGGATTTAGGGTTTAGGGCTTGTCGTCTGGGAAATCTCAAAACACTGGCCCTGCGCAGGTGTTTGAGCATGTTGAAGGATAATGCTTAAACGCCATGTGAACTTTCCGGGCAACACGCAGCGCCTGGCCGTATTTTTAGAATACATACCCTCTGGTTATGACTAACATAGCCATGGAAAATCACCATTTTTAATAGGTAAACCACCTATTTCTATGGGCCATGGCTTCCATGGCTATGTTAGTCATAACCAGAGGGTAACTTATTATACCGTGACCCAGCTTGTGTTCCGCTGAAAATCGCGTTTTGAGGACCTGCAGATTTTGTTGCGGGGCCTTGAAAAACGGGAAGTGAAGGCAGGTGAAGCAATGGACGGAGCAGTGGCTGCAATAGCTATTGAAAATTGCACATCTAGTTCGTTGATTTACCTACTAAAGATGGTAAATTAACATAGCTATGGAAAATCACCATCTATAACTAGTAAATGATCTATCAATGGGTCATTTTCCATAGCTATGTTAGTTTGCTGGAGGGCCCTCTGGTAAACGTTTACAGTTTGCTGTTGAAAATGGCCATAGAAAGTTTGTTGAATTAGCCAGCTATAAAATGATGATTTACCATAGTTATGTTGGTTTACCTAGGTCAATCTTAGATGGGTAGAAACTAATCTGGTTGGTGGTTTCAAACATTTTCGCTGCAACCTGGACGTTTGCCCGGAGTTGATGTCCCGCCTTCCTGATTTTGATCCCTCATGAAGATAAAGTTGATGTTATTACCTCATTCAACATATTGGTCATAGGGGGTGGTGAATTTTATTCCCTCATGAAGATAAAGTTGATGTTATTATCCCAATGAACGTATTGTTCAGAGGGGGTGGCGAATGTTGATCCCTCATGAAGATAAAGTTGATGTTATTACCCCATTCAACATATTGGTCATAGGGGGTGGCAAATTTCAATCCCTCATGAAGATAAAGTTGATGTTATTATCCCAATGAACGTATTGTTCAGAGGGGGTGGCAAATGTTGATCCCTCATGAAGATAAAGTTGATGTTATTACCCCATTCAACATATTGGTCATAGGGGGTGGCAAATTTCAATCCCTCAAGAAGATAAAGTTGATGTTATTATCCCAATCGACGTATTGTTCATAGGGGGTGGCCAATTTTGATCCCTCATGAAGATAAAGTTGATGTTATTTCCCCAAGCAACACATTGTTCTGTTATGTCACAATCCTGAGTCTGGGCGAACGTTAAGGTTGCGGACAACACTTTTTATTTTCCACAATATATGGAATAATCCTTCCCATTGACTAATATTTTTAAAGATGGTTAAAACCACCAACCAGTAATCCTTTAGTCTTGCAGGGTATCAATGCGATTATCTACGTTCACCAGCTAGGAATTTATTTTTCTGCAGGGTATCTGGCTGATTGGCCATGATTTGATCAGTTGCTGCAATTTCCAGCCCCGCTTGGTGAATGTTGATGTGTTTTTCGTGATTTTTCCTAGGGGTTGTAAAAAACCCATCTAAATATAAGTAATATAAGTGGATATAACTGATAAATGATGATTGATGATTAGTTCGGGGATTATACTAATCAATGGGGAACATCACAATCGATTAGGGATTCCAAATCAACCAATCAGCAAGGACCGATAAAAAGGGTTTTGAACGCTGCTCATTGAGTTCTGCAATAAGAAATTATGTGATTTGCAGTATCCTCCCAAGTCAAAAAGACTTGTCGTATTTTGACCTGTTTCTCTGGTGGTTTGAATATCATTTAGGATCATTTCACATTTATCTAGTTGGTGGTTTCAAACATGGCTTTTATTTTCCATAATAAATATATGGGATGTCATCCTTCCCATTGACGAACTCCATCATTTTTCCAGATGGTGAAATTGCACCACCAAGCAGTTATTCAGTTATTCATTTGTGATTACCATCTGGTTATGACTAACAGTTTGCTATGGAAAGATCCACCATGCTATTAAGAACGGCAAAGCATCTATTTCCATGGGCCATTTGTTACAGTTTGCTATAGAAAAGGGACCATTTATATATAGTTGATTTACCGAACTTAAAGATGGTGATTTTCCATAGCAAACTGTTAGTCATAACCAGAGGGTACAGCGTTTTAGGCGAAATGGCGAAAGATCCATACATTGGGAAATCATTTTAGGCATCGCGAATTCTGGACGACCAAAGGTAGATCACGGTAGATCACATTGCTCGGAGAACATTTTAATTTGATTTTACTGGTTGGTGGTTTGGAACGTTTTTTATTTTTCCATATATTGGGAATAGTAACCCCAACTGACTAATATTTTTCAGAGGGTTTGAAACCACCAGGCAGTTTAAATAACCAAAATGCAAGGATAACAACCCAACAACATAGAACTACTTGATACTACGAACGCATGTTGGCATGCCTTTTGCAGGCATACAGGCATGTTATTTACGAATTCAAATAGTGACCTCCCCAAATGCATGCAAATGCAAGGATACCATGCATGTAAATCAATAATTATATGCATGAATATAAACTATGTGCTATGTGTATATATATATATATACATACACACATATTTAGACATGTATATATATATATATTCACAATAGTGTAACTATAAATATTTATGCCAGTGGATCGAAAACCGCATGTGTAGGCGTGCACGTTTTCTATTTTGTGGATTTTTGCGACAAGATTTCGACCCGGTGGTTTGTTGATGCAATTGATATGATGCTGCGTTTTGCACAAGTGGAGTAGGGTGGGGTGGGGTGGAGGGGCTGAGAATGTTCTTTCGCCTGCGCTTCAACATGCTCTTGATGCTACGCTATGGACGTTCTCAGGTAACTTCTGACACGCTCTTGATGCTACGCTATGGACTTTCTCAAGTTACTTCCGACACGCTCTTGATGCTACGCCATGGACATTCTCAGGTAACTTCTGACACGCTCTTGATGCTACGCTATGGACTTTCTCAAGTTACTTCCGACACGCTCTTGATGCTACGCTATGGACGTTCTCAGGTAACTTCTGACACGCTCTTGATGCTACGCTATAGACTTTCTCAAGTAACTTTTGACACGCTCTTGATGCTACGCTATAGACTTTCTCAAGAAACTTTTGACGCGCTCATGATGCAACGCTATAGACTTTCTCAAGTAACTTCTGACGCGCTCTTGATGCTATGCTATGGACTTGCTCAAGTAACTTCTGACAGGTTCTTGATGCTACACTATGGACTTTCTCAAGTAACTTTTGACAGGCCCTTGATGCTACGCTACCATTGACATTGCCTGGGTTCATATGAAAAGACATATCCCTGCCAGTCTCAGCTCCAAGTCACCCCAAATTGAAACTAGTACTCGAGCTTGGCAGGATATTCACGCACCCTCATGTCACTCACCTTCTTGTGGCTGCTGGAAAGGAACTGAATGGATTCGGGTGAATAAGGAAACGAAATTCATGCATGGCGCTTGAGTCCTTGTACAGTTTTCTCATTTTGCATGTCAGCACGAATTCTCTTCAACAGCTGCAGAACGAATGAACAAGGATATGTATTTAATGTATGTGCACATTTAGATGTATTTATGCAACGAAAAACAATAAAGCAGAAACATTTTTTCCATTAAATATCTTCATCATATAATGACAGAACATCTGTGCCAAAAATATCCGTCATGTTTCACTCCAAAAAGAGGGTTTGTCTGAAAATGGACTACCCCCAAATCCCATACTTTATCATCATGTTCCTGAATGTTCCCTTATTAAATAATGTCAACCCTGGATTAATAAACCCCGTAAGCGGCTGTGAAAAATTGGGGGGGTACCATTTCTGTATCATATTGTGACTATTTGGAGGGTACCCCCACAATTAATAAACCATGGTTTAGTCTCATCCGGGGTTGACATTACTCCCAAAGAACCTCATTCACTGACTAGTTGTCCCAGTATAACACAAAAGTTTGTCAAAACCAGAGTTCTAGTGGCCAACATCTCCAATGTTTGTGGGTTACAGTCACAGTATAACCAAAAATTCAACCATAGATGTCCTTTTCCCGGCCTGGTTGATTAATAGATGTTTTTTTCCACAAGCCCCTGTAACAATAGGTAAATGATGATGGGATTAACCAGCTCCCGGCCCCTCTATTTGTTTTACAAAAGGACATGATTGTGATATGGATTGATATGGTACATTCAGAATGTACACTTCTGCCATCCCGATCATCCACAATTGTACCATGATTCAGCTGGATGGTACAATGGTACATGGTATGGCAGCCCGACTTATGGCAGCCTAAAAGGACATTATTCCCGTGGAGGCAGTGAGTTCCTCCCGGGTCGAGAAGAAGTCCAAGCAGGTCACGGCGAGGCGTCGTGAAGGCGGGGCGATTTTCCAAGGCGGTTGGAGGTGACGGGACGAGAGCTCACCCGCAACGGTGTCATCATGGGCTGGAGGAATTGCATATATATATATATACTGTATATATATATAAATAAACATAGATATCTGCAATAGTGTGACATGGTTGGAGGAATCACTCATTGATGATGGGGAAAACCATCAAATCTTGGGATCAATATCCAGCAGCTGGTGCAATGGGGAATTCAAACAACAAAACATAGGGCTTATGATGCAATATCGTCAGCGACACGGTTTATGATTCTATAATATACCTCTATAGTGGTTATGAATGGTTAATGATTTTTTGTTAATAGTGGTTGCTACATGGTTAATACTGGTCGAAAACGGTTGCAGTAACAATCGTTACTTTATGTTACTTTACAATGACGAGTTCACGGTTGCTCCAACCTTGTTGCCACTTTGATGATTTTGATGATATGTTTCTATGTGATAGTATGTGCCGAACTGCCATTTTGATGCAGCACAAACATTGAGAATACGACATGTTTCCACGCATTTTTTTTTTTTAAATCCCTTTTGCAAAACCATCTTACATTCCTTTATACACATTTCAAGTACACTCGCAAAAATTGTAGCCTGCTGATGTTGTCTGGCAAAAATTCATTTCCTTACAGTTTAAAAACCACTTTTGTTTTTTTTGCATGTAAAAAAACATCCATTTCCTTCCAGTCTTGACCTTGTCGTTGTCCCTTTCAGCGCCCTGCATGCAGGGCGCGCGGGTGATGACGTCTTCTTCTCTGGCGTCCCCATATGGACCACTGAGGCGCTTTAAAATGGTGAGTTAGTGGTGAGTTGACGGTGAGTTAAGGGTGATTGAATGGGATGATAATGGGATTACAAAGAAAAAAACATATTAATGGAGGTTTCCGACAAGTGGTGGGGGTACCTTCAAATCTTCCAGCTGGACCATGAATTAGTATTGAAACCCTGAGGTGGGGATATCCCTTTTCTGTGTTTGACTGGTATTTTTTCACCAGCAAACGCCCGTGTGATTCGGCAACGAGACTTTGGCTCTATGGGATATCGAAACAACCAGGTATATCCTCTGGTAAACAGCCACATAACTGTGGAAAATCACCATGCTTTTGATGGGTAAATCAACTACTGTATTTCGACTGGGCCATTTTCAATAGCAAACTGTAACAGTCATTACCAGAGGGTATTTGGGTGATGGAAACTTTGGGGATTCAAACAACAACACACTGGGGGATAGAGGCCGGGATATTTAACCTACAGACTGGGCTATTTGGGTTTGTCTGAAGAGGGATTAACATGGAATTACTGATAAAACAGCACATTTCACGAACTATAAGTCATATTGGAATTCCAGGATTAAAACCCTAAAGAGGTCAACATGTACAAACCAAAAAAACGGCCGTATAAAGACCATGTACCTAATTTATTCCATATTTTTCCGCCATGTGGATGGAATAATATTCACCCCGCTTCGCGTGGGGTGGCCGCCCACACCGCAGGTTTATTTCGGTCCGTGAGAGGGGCTAACGGTGGTTTTCCCCCGTGGGGGCTCCCCAAGCTAAGAATTTTCACTTTTCCCCCCGTGGGGGCTCCCCAAGCTACTTTTCCCCCCCGTGGGGGCTCCCCAAGCTAGGGAATTTTCACTTTTCCCCCCCGTGGGGGCTCCCCAAGCTAGGGAATTTTCACTTTTCCCCCCCGTGGGGGCTCCCCAACCAGGGAATTTTCACTTTTCCCCCCCGTGGGGGCTCCCCAAGCTAGGGAATTTTCACTTTTCCCCCCCGTGGCTAGGGCTTCCCAAGCTTCCCAAGGGAATTTTCACTTTTCCCCGCCGTGACAGCTTCCCAAGCTATGGAATTTTCACTTTTCCCTCCCTTGGAGGCTCTCCAAGCTGCGGAATTTCAAATAGCTAGACAACGACGCCTAGATAGTCCCCCAAATCCCGTGTTCTTTGAATGTGTTTCCATGTTTTTGCAATGGTTTCCTTCAAAGCACGGTACTTTACACTTTTGTCGCCATAAAACCGGTCGAAAACATCATGTTCGACAATGCTTCCAATTCCCTTATCTCCCCAACCGTTGAAAATACCGCTATTTACAGTGTTTTCTTCAATTTTTCCATGTTCCAATGCCGGTAGCCAACTCCAACATATATAAAAGAAATCCTTCCAAAACATTGTTTTTGACAGTGTTTTTCCAATGTTTCCAGTCAAACAGACGGTAATTTACACGTTTTTTGCCATAAAGGCAGTAAATCCTTCCAAAACATTGCTTTTGACAGTGTTTTTGTAATGTTTCCAGTCAAGCATACGGTAATTTACACGTTTTTTGCTATAACGTCAGTCCAAAACACTTGTTTTTGCAGTGTTTTCAATGCTCTGGCATCCAAAAACCCTGCAAAATCTTGCTATGTACAATGTTTTTTTCATTTTTGGCCGTTTTTCCATTGCCGGAAAGCTACCAAAATGACCCAAAATTCCATTTCAATACCCTCTTGCGCTCAGACACCCAAAAATCCTCGAAAAATGTCGAAAACACCACCGTATTCTGGTCTCGGTGCGAAATCGTTTTTGGGCCCCCCCCCAGCTAAAGCTGATATAGCGACTGCTATATTAACAAATGTCATTGAGCATTTAGTGTTGCTGTTTTGCCCCCCAATAAGCACGCCTTCACCGCCAAAGCGGTGTGGGCGGATTTTAACCTTACCCTCCAGTAAACTGACATAGCAAAGGAAACTTTTCTTTTTTTAGTTCGATGATTTACCTATCAAACTAACATAGCTATGGAAAATGGATGAACTGTTGGTGATTTATAGTTGGTTTACCTATATAACATGGTGATTTCCATAGCTATCTGTTGGTTTACCAAAGGGTAGCTGTGCCGCCGCCGAGGACGCCATTCGCAGTTTCTTCCAGCACGCCGGCGAGGTTAGGACGCCACAGCGATGGATCTTTTTTTGGCTGCTGGATTTCACTGAGAAAAAGATATACAGTAGTCATTATTGGATAATCAATACTAGACAACCAGGAGCCACATATCAGATAAAAGAGAGAGAGAGGGATATATATATAATTATATATACATATCTTGGTAAATTTGATCACGACCTCACTGCGACCTCACTGGAATCATGGTTAATAAGAGGAATCATCCCCACATGGCCTTAATTCAGGTTAGTGAAATATAATAATTTACCCAGATATATATATATTATAGCGCGGACAATTCGGGCGTGTCCCCGAGAGTGATAGCTCGGCGTGAGCAGAGCTGATCACACAGACAAAGGGTCCAACAGACAGCTTTGTACACACATCACAGGGGGTAGGTGAGTTTGCACCTACCCGCGGCCGTGGTATTTCTGCAGGCTGCAGACCAACAGGGAGGCAAAGCATATGTCAGCTATGCCCACCAATCCATTAACTAACCAGGAGTCAGCACTTCATTTGTCTAGATGCCAACTTGGTTGAAGCAAAACAGGGTTGGAGCATGAACTAAGAAAAAGGAGAAAAGCGATGCTGCACAAACTTCT